GTGGGAGTGAAGGACAAATGAGATCACAGCGCTCTGAATTAACTCACTTTGAGTGCTCACTTTGGGTAGGGTTTTCTGGGCCACAGGCTGTAGAACGCTTCAGTATAGTTTGTAGGCCAACCCAGAAGTTAGCATCATCACCCTATGTGAAATGCATCATATTAATTCAATGAGGCATATTACTGATGTAAAATGTTAAAATATCTTAAGCTTATGTTAATCACACTGACTTCAGGATGACTGAACCGAAAGTTCCAAATATGAAATTGTTTCTGGGTTTTGGCCTGCAAAAATGTCTTCCTCTTTCCTCACAGTGTTGGAGCACCATTCTGTGCTCAGAACTTTTCTGAATGTTTTAGTTTACAACAGTAACCTATTGCTGTTTGGACCTCGTTTTTGTTTCACATCATGTCCAAATTTATAGAAGTGTAGATTTGTGTATTTCTCATCAAGAGCCAATCCATTCAGACAAAAATAAAAATCGATGCGCTAAAAAAAAGTTATTGATGTGGCACGATGCTCTCCATAAATGTTTGAATGCTTTATTAGTTGTAACGTTTTTCATGAGAACCTGTGCCATGCATTTTTCCTTTTCTCAGCAAGGGAGTGCTTTTAAAGCAATGACTCTGCATGGCATTGGGCGTTAGCTGAAAGAAAGGTCATTGGTCTTCGCGTGGTGCTGGCTGAAAAGGCTTCCTGAGTCACCTCTGGATCGCCTCTCCCTGGATTACGCGGCGCTCTACGCCGGCAGATGAGACCCAAGACCCTTTTTCTTCTCGCTCACTTAGGGGGATAAAATGACCAGTGAGAACTCAATTAGCAACATGTCTCCCTCGACGGGAGTCGATGTCGGGCGCTCGCCCTTGTGATGCAAAGTGAGGCGCCGAGTGAGGTCGAGCTTTGATTTGCTTATTTGGGATTGACTCGTACAATTACAGGGTGATAAAGGCTTTTGACCGGGAGCAGGGACGTGGCTCGGGTTTGTTGACTGTACTCTGTGTCTGGGTTAACTGAAGCTGAATGGACATAGGAGGCTGGTTAAGCACTGCTTATTGAGTCACTCGTAGGACCCCATGAGACCTCAGAAACAACAATGGCAGAATTAATGGGTAAAGCGCAATGAGAATGTCAACGCGACGGGGAGCGTGCTCAGAGCAGAGTCGGCTCTTAAGGTGATTGTGTTGCCAAACGCCCGCGTTGGATCTTTTGCATTTGTTTGTGTGTTTGAAAGCATCTGTTTTGTTGTTTTGGTGTGAAGTCAAATGCCCTTTATTTGATTTGACTCTAAACAGTTGCACAGGAAGCAGTCAAAGTATATGCAGTCATGCACTGTATAGGTATATGCATATATTAACACTATCAAGCCTACTGTATCACATTTGATACACATTTCTAAAGCCTTTAAATTATCAGTATAATCAAAACATTGATGAAAAACCTGTTGTACACAATTTACTACATGCCTTTTGTTGTCGGATTGATAGTTTACATGTTTTTAGCAAGTAAAAGGCCTTGTAGTATATTTCTAAAAATGTCCCCCTTCAGGTTGTGATACACGTATCTTTTTGCTGTTATTATTATAAGAATAAAAGTAAGCATTTAAATATCATCTTATTGGGAGATATCAGACTGACAACTGATATCTGTATGCATTTTATGTAAGTAATATATTATACTGTTAGGCTATGAAGATCTCATTGATTTGTGTTGTAAATGTAAAGCTGTAATGTAAATCTAAAACTATCAGAATTTCATCTTACATTTTGGCCATTCAAATATCAGCAACTGCATCAAATTGTATACTGTTCAGTTTGGGCCTCTGAATAAAACTGAGGTGTTTTTTTGCCTCCTCGAGTGTGAGCTCCATATTCTCTTATAAAATATGAGCCATAAAAGCGTGATGTATCAAATATGATACTGAAAAAAAGCACATATGCAGAGTTTCTTTATTTTATCTAAAGGTTAACTAAACTGTTCCATTTAAAAAAAAAAAGGTTTGCATGGTAAAGTAATTCAAATAGGCTTAAATTTAGTTTCTGAAAGGTATACATCCAAAAATAAGAATTCTGTCATCATATACTCATGTCGTCTTATTGTGAATGATGCATCTGTGTTATTCTATGGAATAAAAATGTTTGTCTTTGTAATATTTAATTCAAATATAATTACTTGCTTTTCCTCTGAAACAACTTTTCTTTTCTGCTGAGGTCACTCAGGCCATGCAGTTAATTGAAACAGGCTAAACAATAACCAAATAGCTATTTGGGCATTTAGCATTCTGTTTGTAACAAGTGGATTTAATCAAGTCATAGTGTGTGTGTGTGTATATATATATATATATATATATATATATATATATATATATATATATATATATATATATATATAATTTTTTTGAAAGGTGTTGACCTAATTGGTTCGGCAGGCCTACACGAACTCCTGAGATGTCCATTTGCGAGATAATTCCATAACACTCTGCCTCTCTCCAGAAACTTGGCAGACTCCGGAGAACTTCTGAGGAGAACCATCCATCAGTCATAGTTAGGTCTAATGATGTGTCCATTTTGACACTTCAGAATCAGTCACGGCAAATTGCTCTGTCGGGAGGGAAAACATTGAGAGAGATAGCCTCACCCTGATATAATTCGTCGCTGCAAATGACAAAACAGAGCAGGGAATAATATGTGAAGTCAAGTTTAGTGAGAGAGAAAATGGAAAAATTTAGGGTTGTGAGGCACCTTAATGGATATCCTTGCAGCTGGATGAAAATGGGCTCGAGTAATGTGTCCTTAATGTGAGCCAGCCGGGTTTCTCGGAGTGTATCAAGAGAAAGGTGCCCTGTCATTTCAGCTAGCAATCACTTAATGGGGACGGTAAATCTCAACAAAATGGACATGCACTGTGCTATTTCTGGCTTCAGGAGATGGAGTGAGTGATTGGCTCTGGTGAAAATGAAAAAAAATCAAAACATTGGAGGGGAAAAGTAAAAACAAAGAGGAGGACGCAAAGAGCAAAAAAAGCAATCTCTTCCGTCTAGGGTCTGTGTGCTGTTTGTGTTTTGCAAAAGTGCAGAGACAGTGACAGGAATTTCAATTATCTGATTACGGCAAAATGAAAAGACATAAATGTTGTGATTTCTGCTGTCTTTCATAGATCAATCTAATGTGTGCTCACATTGAAAATCTAGCAAAATGGAAGAGGCAAAGTGAGGCAGCGTCTCTTCAAATCATGCAATTAAAATGACAAATTAGTTTCTTGATATATTCATCTAAGTGGTTAAGTGGAAGGGTTTTATTCCATACTCAGTGCTGTGGAGCAGGGATGGGAGGGAGAATCGTCTGCGTGCTCTTTTGATTAAGGCAGCCGCTTAAATGCCGGGAAAATGTTGAAAGCACTTGCCATACAAATTAGCCAACCGAAGGCTGCGAAATGAAATTCTAAAGAGTTGATTTAGGCATTTAGGGGGATGCGCCTGGCAGCTTAAAGGATTCAAAGACATTCTCAGGCAGTGTGCATTATGTTGAAGGGGTCAGGGCTGAACACTGGTTTGTGTTTTCTACCATTGTGAAAGGGCAAGCTACTGAAAGAGAGACACTGGAAACACAAATGATTTCAATATCCTTTTGACCCAAGAGTAACCAGAGTATGCATCTATATCTATCTATCTATCCATCCATCCATCCATCCATCCATCCAAACAGTTCATCAGTCCTATGTCTTTCTGACTGTCTGTGCATTTGTCTGTCCATTTATTTAGCATTTATATCCAGTCTATATCTATCTGTCTATACATGCTGTTTTCTACAGTAAAGACAGCAGTAAAAATAAATCCATACAATTTGATAGGACTGGGCTTGATTTTAACATTAGTGGCATTGCGTTTTTGCCATCTGTCATGCAACTGCATGTAACTGGCCCACAAAGGTACAGAGGTTCCTCTGAAGGTCTATTAGGATTGTTCTTTATTTCCGTGCATCCACAGAGTAGCTAGACATTTGCTATCATTAATGTTTGCTTTAATACACATGTGTCATAACAAATTCATCCTCTGAAAAGCCAGCTGCATTCGAGAAAGAAATGCTTCACTCTCACTGAGACATATTGTCCACTTTGATAGCTCAGAATGATATCAAATGCCCCTCTGCTGCCTCAGTTGAAATGGAACCAAATAGGCGGTGGTCTATAAAAATGAAGTTAGACGTAAGTATGGCACTCACATCTTTGAAAAAACCCTTTCCTGTTGCATTTTGTAGTCGTCAATTGGTCCGAGCAACTTGCTCTAATGCAGGTAATGGATCCACTGTGGTCCTTTCATCTTCGGGACCATGTGCGGGAGATGGGAGAGGAACCCTTCTGGAGGAGAAAACAACTCTAACACACATAAGGGCGAGGGAAAGCAAAGCTAAGCTAATTCTCAATAGGGCGTTGTAAGTTTGACTCAAATGCTGAGGAAATCGGAGGTGTTTTAGCATATTGCGTAAGTCTGTGAAGCAAACAGAGGAATGAATAATGGTTTGGTTATTCATATTTCATTTATAATACCTTGAGTATATGACATTTACATTTATTCTTTTAACAGTTGCTTTTATAGCAGCTTACAGAACAAGGCTGTTGTTAATTGTATTTCATGTGATCATTTTAATTAGATAGTGAAGAACTCCACAAACTTGCACTGTGGATGTTTTTAAAAGCTTTGCATGGAAATCCTCTAGTATAATGTGAAATTGGAAACTGATATAAAACAGAGCAGACTTTCATATGTCTAGATTGTAGCAGAACATGAAAACACACAATAAAATTGAAATTTTGTTTTGAAAATGGAATTGTTCCATGCTAGGCCCAACAGCAATCCAGATTTTCCGCTCGGCCTCTTCCCAACTATAGGCCGGTTAGCGGCGCCCGCTCAATGGAAAGCCTCCAGTCATCAGGATTTGTAGATAGGCCTAGTTCTGTTTCTTCAGCAGATTCCAAATTCACAAAACTAGCTCTAGCTGATTGGCTGTGTGTTTGCCTGTTCTTTTGTTTCAGCGCTCCGCTTGGTCTTTCCCCAGTTCTCTCTATTCACCCGCTAAACGCTAGTGCTAAGAGCTGCTGGAAAGCTGCCTGTACAGCCATTATAGGGCCCTGCTGTATTTTATTTAGACTTCGTTAAAGGGTTTGACAAAGGTAAGTGTGACTACTTTTAATAGCTAGATTACCGGATTGTTTGATAGAACCATGGACCTTTGATGAATGATTTGTTCGTGTTTGGCTATTGTTTGTTTCCTGGCTTTCCTCAATATTTAACCCTCCAAGAATATAATGATTCCATGAACATCTGTCAGGTGTAACTCAATAATGTAGTGTTAACTCTAAGATAACTGCTCAGAAAACTGTGTAAAGATACAAATATTTCCCGATAACAAGACATTTTAAGGAAATGTATTAATTGATTAAAATGAGTTGAAAATGTTTTATATATATATA